CGTGGAAAATCCATATAATGAAAAATCTATGCTTGGGGAACCAGCAGTTAGAATAATGGCTATGCCGCTGGACTCCCACGTAATCGACCGCAGTTCACATCTCGGACCTGGTGGCTTAAAACTCACACTGGGCGCGTGTGCGTGCGTGCCCAAGATCCTGAGAGGAGAATGGAGGAGAAGGGACTGCAGCATGGCCATCCCCCCTGGGGGGTGATTTCTCGCTTTCTGTCTCTCTGTCTCTGTCTGTCTGGTGAGCGCACGCGCTCTATAGCGAAAAAACCTCTCCAAAAAAATAAAATCTATGCTTGGATTTCAAAATTTTTGCACCAAAATAAACTTGAACTTTAATTCCACTCTTCACACACTTTTTTTTTTTTTTAATTTGCTATAGAGCACAAACATTCACCAGAAACAAGAGAGAGAAAACAAGAAAGCACTCCCAGAGGAATAGTCATGTCACAATCCCCTCTCCTCCATCCTCCTTTCAGGATTTTGGGCATGTATACACATGTGCCCAGAATGTTTTTCAAGCCACCAGGTCTGGGACTCTGACTACACAGTTGACTACATGGAATCCAGCCATCTTAATCACTATACCACCTGTTAGCCCTTCACAAATTTTTCACAGTCCCTCTTACTTAACTGAATTCTGATTGCTACAGTATATTTACTGGAATCATGTTAAATTTATAAATTAACATAAGGAAAATTGACCTCTCTGTAACACTGTCTTTCTATCCAAGCTCACAGTGTGTTTCTTACCATTGGATTGAGTCTTCATATTTATTTAGGACTTAGTTTTTTCTTCTTGTTGCTTGTTTTTCTTTCTTTCTTTTTTTTTAAGAGATATTTTTGCTATAGGACACGTGTGCTTGCCAGAGACACAAGAGAGAGACAGAGAGACAGAAAGGGAGAAATAACCCCCCCAGTGGGATGGTCACACTACAATCCCTTCTCCTCCATTCTCCTCTTGGGATCTTGGGCACACACACATATGCGCCCAGTGTGTTTTAAGTAACCAGGGACAGGACTAAAACCACAATTGACTATGTGGGACTCCAGTGACATAACCATTACAGCATCTGCTGGTCCTGTTACTTATTTTTCATTTGTTGAGTGTCTTCCTAAGTACTTTACTCTCTGGGAGGCTGGTAGAAACGTGTTTCCCATAGGGTTGCTGCCGAGCATTAGTAGGTTAATGTACAAAGTGCATAGAGTCGTCCCCCCACGCAGGAAGTGCCATGGAAACACCTGCTATGCCTCCTGTCCTCGGTCTCTGTCATTGCCTCCTCTACCTGATTATTGTGCTGTGGGTCACAGTTGCTCTGTCTTCGGTTCTGCCCAGGTTATGTTCAGGCAAAGTGGGACAGAACTGGATCATAGGGCATCATTTAACAGGAAAATGTGGCACATCAGTAATAGCCCCTTCCAGCCGGCTGCGGGGTGCAGCAGTACACAAGGCTCTGGGATGCTGAAGTCATATGAGAAGACCTCGGCCTCATGTCCCAAGTCTCCCTGTGTGTGCCAGGTGCCTGCGTGCACCTGAGATCCTGGCTGGCTGAGGCTGGGGGCAGATGACAATGAGACGACCTCTCTGGAAGTATCTGTTTCCCTCTCTCTCTTCTCTGTCTCTCTCTCTCTTTGAAGAAATGAGTAACTACATTTAAAAAAGAAGAAGGAGAAGAAGAAGACGATGACAAAACTGTCCCTTCCCATAACCAGCTCTCGGCCCTCCTACAGATGCTTTTCCCCCACTCAGTTCTACCCCACAGCTAGGATTTTCTCCTCACTGACCCATCTTCCCCAGACACTAGGGACTATTGGCATTTAAACCAATCACTAAAAGTAAAGATGTAATTATTATTGCCTCATACATTCCATCTGGCTTAAGAAAATGAAATTTAATATATCTTGAACATGATCCAGCCTCTGTGGTGCGGTGAGTAGCATACTGAACTGCAGAGCTGGAAGAAATGTGACTGGAAACTGTTGGTGCCTCTCTTTCCCATATGCACGAGCTCTCTATTATTAATTAAATGTGTGTGTGTGTGTGTGTGTGTATTTCTATAAAATGAAGTATTCTTGTGGACAATTCTTATAGTCCAGCACAAAACTAATGCTTGCCACTTACAGTGCAGAAACAGGCTGGCAGCTCCTCTCTGTACCAGGGAGCTAGGCTGCCTAACAAATCTTCTCAAAATTCAGTCATTTAAAATAGCAGCAATTTAATTTTGCTTGAGTCTACAGGTTAGCTGAATTATTCAGCCAGTCCTGGCCAGCCTTGGTCATTTAAGCTGGTCTCATCATGCATCTGTGGTCATCTGGAAGATGACCTAGAGACTGACTGGTCTAGGATGGACTGCTCCTTGTGTCTGGCAGTTGTTTGCTGACATCTGGGTCAGTGCATTTGGCTGTGTGGCTATGCCATGTGCCACTCATCTACCATCAGGCTAACCCAGGTTTATTCCCATGGTGCAATGGAGATCTGAAACAGAGCAGTGCATAGGGTTTCTTAAGACATGCTTGGAACCGATACGGAAAATCTTTCCACCACATTCTGTTGGCCAAGGCAAAACATGTGAACAGCTTAAATTCAAGGGAGTGGGAAATAAACCCCTCCTCTTGATAAATGGGGCTTCTTAGTCATATTGCAATGGGTGTGAATACAGGGAATTGTGAAAAATAAGAATCATAGAGGCCAGCAGGTGGCGTGGTAGTTAATGTGCTGGACTCCTATATGGCTGACCATGGTTCTAGTCCTGGACTCAGCAGCCTGAAAATCATGCTGGGCACATGTGTGTGTATTAAAAATCCAGAGAGGAGGATAAATGAGAAGAGATTGTGGCATGGCCATCCCCCAGGGAAGTAATTTCTCACTTTCCCTCACTCTGTCTCTCTCCAGCAAGTACACACGCCCTATGGCAACAGCCTTCTTTAAGAGAAAAAAAAAAAAAAGTCATAATCAATCTACCACACTCCCTTCACCAAGGTGAGAATGCTTTTAGCACTGGTTTCCTTTTATCAAGATTGCTTTGTCTCACTAGCAGCCACCCCATTTCTCTCTGTGTCCTTCTTCCTGAGAGCATTTGCTTGTTTTGATGATATTTTCCAGAATAGATTTACCAAGATTCAGAGGACAATCCCCAGCTAGTGGTTAAATAAATATTTGTTGATGTATCTACTCAATCAATCACAGGCTAATTAACTGCCAGTCCTGTAAAGAGTCATTGAAAATGTCACATCTCATTGTCAGGAGGCAGAGAAGCCTTGGAGGTAATCCAGGTATCTCTCTTCTGGCATCTCTATCCTCAACTTCTGCATCAGGACCATGGACACCAGCTGGTCACACAGGGATAGACCTTCTTTGTCAATGTCTCCTCTTTGTTTTCTTGCTCTAGAGGGTCACTGAGCTGCCCTGGGCAGGCTGTGGAGTGGGTGGATGTTTTACACCTGCTCTCACCTCCCACAGTACATGTCTGCTCTCCTCTCTGCTTACCCAGCACACAGGTGAAGTCAAAGTAGCCCCAAGTTCTACCACCTCAGGGATGAGAAGAGAAGGGCCCAATCCTAGGTTGTTAAGGCGGAGAGGAGAACAGGGCATAGAAGACAATGAAAAGACAAAGAAAAGGCAAAAACACTAAGAACATAGGGACCAGCAGGTGGTGTGGTGGTTAAAGGTGCTGGATTCCCACATGGTCAACTGCGATTTGAGTCCTGGACCTGGTGGCTTGCTTTCTCCCTTTCTCTCTCTGTTTCTCTCTGGTCAAATTAAAAAATAATAATAACAAATGGAAAGAATAAATAAATAATTCTCAAAAGAGGAACCAGCAGTTGGCATAATGGCTATGTCACTGGACTCCCATGTAATCAACCACAGTTCGAGTCCCAGACCCAGTGGCTTAAACTCATGCCGGGCGTGTGTGTGTGTGTGTCCAAGATCCCAAGAGGAGAATGGAGGAGAAGGGATTGCAGCATGGCCATCCCCTCTGGGGGGTGATTTCTCGCCTTCTGTCTCTCTGTCTCTCTCTG